TATAGCAAAAACTAAAAAATTAAATTAAATTAGATGAGCTGAAAGCAAAACATTAGTTCCAATAAGATTCAGCTACAAGACAAAACTGCATTTCTCTCTCTCTCTCTCTTTTTTTTTTTTAAGAGAGATTTTTGCTATAGGGCACATGTGCTCGCTGGAGAGACAGAAAGAGACAGAGAGACAGAAAGGGAGAAATCACCCCCCCAGTGGGGATGGCCACACGGCAATCCCTTTTCCTCCAGTCTCCTCTCAGGATTTAGACACACACACACACACACACACACACACACAGATAGACACACACTCACGGCGTGATTTTCTTTTCTTTTTCTTTTTGGAGAGGTTTTTCTGCTATAGGGCACGTACGCTAGCCAGACAGACAGAGACAGAGAGATAGAAAGAGAGAAAGCACCCCCCAGAGAGGATGGCCACACCGCAAGCCCTTCTCCTCCATTCTCCTCTCGGGATCTTGGGCACGCACGCACATGCGCCCAGCGTGAGTTTAAGCCACCGGGTCCATGATTCAAACCGCGGTCGACTACGTGGGAGTCCAGCGACACAGCCATTACGCTAACTGCTAGTCCCACACGGTGTGATTTTCAAGCCTTGGGGTCTAGGACTTGAACCACGGTCGTCCATGTGAGAGTTCGGCGACGTAATCATTATGCCATTTCCTGGTCCAAAAGGGATGGTAGCAAGTTTAGGGAGTTGTTAACAACAGAGCACCAGAGACTTTCCCCCGACATAATCAGAAGACAGAGAGAAGAAGAGGTCAGCTTTGGTCACATGAGTCCTGGCTGAGAGCCCACGGTGCCCCAGCCGCCCGCCGCAGGGAGGTAGGTGTGCCACTCTCTCCGTGTGGAGGCAGCCGCTGTGAGCTCGGAGCATCTGAGAATATGTGACCAGCGGGGATACCTGACGCCCTCTGACCCCCGAGAGCCCTGGGCTGTGGCCGGGCAGGTCCTCCGCACCACCCACAGACCGCAGGCATCGGATGTGGCCCCCACGCGACACCTGCTTCCACACCGATTCCGCGCTCGCAGGCACGGCCAAGGCCTGCGTGTGTGTTTGTTTCCGTGTTTAAAGTCTCCTTCCTCACGGGTTCCTCACTGTAAGAAGCGTGACTTCCTGAGTGAACGACTACCGTGCTCACACCACACTGGTCACTAGAAATACACGGGCACAACACAGTTCTGGCATTTCCAGCCACGTGGGAATACGTCTCTACTTCATCTGGTTGTTTTGTTTTGTTTTGTTTTAAGAGAGAATTTTGCTCTAGGACACGTGCGCTCACCAGACAGACAGACGGACAAAAAGTGAGAAATCACCCCCTTCTCTCGATTCTCCTCTCGGGACCTCAGGTGCGCGTGCACTTGGACCTGTGTGAGCTTCCAGCCGCTGGGTCTGGGATTTGAATCGCAGCCAGCCACGTGGGAGTCCAGCGCCTTACCTACTCTGCAGCCTGCTGGCCCTCATGTCTCTGAGTGCTCACAAGAACGCTGTGAAATGCAGTCTGAAGCAGGAGCCCTTCTGTCGGGATTTGCTCCTGCGTGCTCGGGGCCGGCTCACACTCCCTGTCTGTGCTACACAGCCCTGTGGCTGCCGTACCTGGTTCATTTCCGGTCTTGCTGGAAATCAGGTTTTAAAGTACTGTTACTCCCCACGAGGAACAGAACGCACACGGGGCTGTCAGTCCTGCTCGGTCCCACACAAAGCTCTTCCTTCTTTTGCTGTGGGACGGAGGCCCGGGAGATGGGTGGTGGAGAATAAGCCGAATCTAAAAATAGACTGGATTGTCTCTCCTATTTCTATGTAATTAGAGCCCTTTATAACCACCCACTACCACCTCAATAGTTATGGGATAAATAAATATGTATTTTTGAATGTGGCAAAACCAGGGAGAAGTAGTCAGGGCTGCATCCAATTTATCAACTTGGCGATGACGAGGCTGGCTCTCCCGGCTCCAGACATCCAGGGACCAGATAAGCAGGGGGTTGGCCGTGTCTTTACTAACGAATCCAGGGCTGGAAAGGCACCAAGCAACTTTAAAGAAAAGGAGCAAGGACGAGAGACAGGAGACAAGGCCACTAGGGTGACGGAGGGCAGGGCTGGCTGCGGAGCGAGGCGACGTGTTTCCCACGACACTCCTCGGTGGGCCACGCAGGTCTCTCCCCACGCTCTGCCAGCGCGGCGTGTCCCTCCAGCCTCAGACGTGCGGCTCACGGTGTGGAAGGGAAGAGCCTTGGAACATTCCACGGGGGGCAGAGGGCTCGGGGCTCTGAGTTTGAAAGGGGGAGGCTAAGAACAATGGCAGCAGGAGGGGTTAGACTGCAAGGTGAGGGCAGTGCTCGGACAGGAAGTGAGGGACACACGCACGGGATTCGATCAAGACGACACAGACGGCGAGGAGGGAGGGCGAGCGAACATACTCTGGAAGCGCAGGCCCACGGGGACATGCAGGGGCAGGCCGGGCGCCCGTCCAGGCGGCACAGGGCCTTGTTCTCAGGGGCCAGGATCGGATCGGAGCGCACTAGACGTGGCCAGTGCGACGTCTCCGCTCAGCGGGAAGTCCGGGTTTTAGCAACGATTCCAGAGTATGCGAGCTGCGGAAGCCGGGCACACGTCACATTCCCGTGAGACAATCGACCCAGAGAAGAGCTCCCGTCTGCGGCCCACGGAAACCCACGGTGGCCTGGCGCCCCGGGAGATGCCGCACACGCAGATGTGACGTCACCCAGGCACCGAGGTCGGGGTGACAAGAAGCGAGGGGTCGCAGGGTGCTTCATTACAGGACGCCATAGCCAGCCAGAAAAGGAACAAGACTTTTCCAACAGAATAACATCACCACCGACTCATAGCACACGGTGCCGGGCAAAGGGAGACGGGAGTGAGACGCAAATCATAAACAGAACACAGGAAAATAACTGAGCGAACGAAATCACAAGTCATGGTAAAGGAACACCAAGCGACATCATTTTGAAGTTTCTGCACACAGCTCGTTGACAGAACACGGGAAAATAACTGAGCGAAATGGAGACGAAATCACAAGTCATGGTAAAGGAACACCAAGCGACATCATTTTGAAGTTTCTGCACACAGCTCGTTGGCATTGCCCCGTCAAACACGTGGTCATCGCACGCCGAGCCGGGCTTGACGGGCAAGGCAAGGAGTCAGCACGAGAGCAGGAGCACGTCGGACGCCCATGCGTTCACCTCTGCCACCATTGTCTGCCGGTGGACCGCTTCCAGCTTTGTCAGCGTGCACGGTAGGACCCCAGAGAATGAGCAGCGCCAAACCGTACAGCCATCTGTCAGAGCGCTAATTAGACTCCGTGAACCGCCATTCCTTGGGGAGAAGTCAAGGTTGGAAGAAATCCACCCCTCGGGGCGGTGAAAACGACTGCCACCAACAGCTGGACACCCGGCTGACAGTCCAAGCGTTCCTGGAAAGCTGTTTCCGAATGTCACAGCGGTGGAAACAGTGACTTCTCCCAAGCCGTCTCTTCTCGAGGCACGACTCGGCACCCAGCCGGAGCCACACAGAACAAACGAGGGCACACGTTGGCACGGGCCGCCCGACGCCCTCCGACCCGGGTTCTCCGGTACGGGACAAGTGCTGACCCCGGTCAGTAGCAGGCCCGGCACAACTGGGCCCACACGGGGACGCCCCCGGTCCTGTCCTGGGGACTCCCAGGTGCCGTGAGGATCATGCTGTGAAGGTCCCTTGGGGATTGCTGGGAGGTGCCTGTCTCTCGCGTGGAAGAAGGAAGGGGACAGAGAGAGAAGGAGAGAAAGAAAGGAAGGAAATGGAAAGAAAGGAAGAGGGAGAAAGAGGAAAGAAATGAAAACTAAAAAAGAGGCTGATGACACAGAACGCACTTTCCTCTCCTGAAGCCTGGGCAGGGCACATAACTGAGTGGACGTGTCTGGGCCAACGAGCGAAGCGGCCCGGGGCAGGCTCGCAGACAAGACAGAGGCTCCATCTTTACACCTGGGCCTGGCACGCAGGGCCTCCGAGCACATGGCACTCGCAGGAGGTGACCGGCAAGAAGAGGGTGGAAATTTCGCATCAGTCTGCCCAGAAACGCTCTCCGAAAGGCAAGTCGGCAACTGCGAGCAGAAGACGCCAGGGGAGGGTGCGACAGAGACGGCCGTCAGAGGCCCCAGGGCTGCTCGGCCTGGACTGCCAAGCCCGCTTGGGTGGAGGTCTGGAGACACACAGACGGAGCAATGGGATCGGGCGGACGGCTCGGCCACATCCCGGTCCAGTCTCTGCTTACAGAACCGCGTCTGGACGAGGAACGTCCTCTGGTTGCAGCTGCCACGGGAGGAGGGTGACACCAGACGCAGCGGACGGAGAGACGAGGGATGGCACTTCCTGCTGGAGCTCAGCACACAAAGCAAAGGAGAATCTAGGGCAGCTCACAGCAGAGTCCCTCTCACTGGCTGTGGCTTCCTCTCCTTTTAACTGCGCAGCCGTCCTGCCTGATTAATACCGCAGTTCGTCCTAGCTGCTGTCCTCCGAGGGCACCAGGGCCCAGCTGGACGGCACCACAGCCGAGGGGCGTGTCTGGCAGAGCCTTGGCCCTGCTGTCCCTCAGGGCGCTGACCGCGCCTGGACTTCGACCGCACTGGCTGGCCAAGGCTGCCCGTGTCCCGCCATGTCATGGTGGGGAAAGAGGGTCTGAGATCCACAGAAGGAAACAGGAGTGGAAAGGAAAGGAACGCAGGAAGCGGCCCGCCCTGGGCCACGCCACGCCTCCTGAGTGCAGGGGCTCGGGCTCGGGGGATGTGCTGTTTGTTCTGTGTGGCTCTCCGTGGTCGAGGAAGATTTCTGGGTGAGACTCACACCAAGGATTGGGCTGCCATCTTTTTTGAGAAGCTTTTGATCACAGCGCACTGGAGGTTCCCTCACGCCGCTGGACTCAGCTGGAAGCAGTTACACAGTCCTCCCCGCTTTCCCCGTCTCCCCCAGAGGAAGAGGCATTTCCAAGGCCTTACCCTTCTTGTCTTGGTGATTATGGGAAGACACTGCCCCCAAAGGGTCTGTGCTGTCAGGTGAGGCGAGCAGATCCTTCCAGTCCGGCATCCCTCCCCTAGACTCATCCCCCTCTCGAGCCGCCGAGGCTGACGCGGTGGTGCTGGGCAAGAGGGACCTGGAGTGGCCTGTTTTCATCACAAACACGGTTAGGGAGAACGCCGCCCAGAGACCCACGTCCCCTCCGCGTGGAGGCCGGCAGGCGGGACGGCCAGCCAGATGGAGTGGGGTGTGCTCTGCGGAAGGCCCCTGGACTTGTGGGTCGAGGCTGAGGCCAGATCCTAACTCGACCGTGGGCTGGTGGGCCTCAGAGAGTCACTGTCCGTGTGCACACAGTGGGGATGGTCACTTACCTCTCGTGTTGGGAGGATGCCGTGACACGGTGGGAAGCGTCTACACTGTGTGCTAGACACCAAGTGTCTGATACTTAGCAGGGGCTCAGAAAACACCAGTGTCTGCCTTTGGTACGCCTGTGGCCGCACTACAGACAGAGTGTGCCCTCTGGGTGCAGCGTGTGACACTGACAGGGCAGGTTATGTCACGGGATGCGCCTCCGCGCAACCAAGGGCTCAGTGGCGAGCCCGTCCCGCAGTGTCCCCGTCTTCCACGTCCGCTGAGCTTCACAGGCATTGCTCTTCATGGGGGCGTGATCGCTTTGGAAGGGACCTGCCTTCGGAAAGGCGTCCCGACAGCTACGTATTATGGCCATGCCCTCTGTCTCTTACTCCAATAAAATTACTTTCATAGTTTTACAGCTCGTACGTTTGAGGCTTCACTGACGGAAATGATCCAAATTAGAAAAAGACAGGGTTCTAAGACCCAGAAAGGCTGACCAGAGGATAACGCAGGACAATGGCGAGGTTGGGACTTACGGCAGAAACCTTGGACACTCCCTGTGGGTACTTTCAAAGCCCTCCCTCCATCAGTCCACAAGGTCAAGTACAGACTGGACTGGGGCTTTGATCTGAGCCGTCACGTGATTTCAAGAAGCCTTACCACCTGTTCTCTCTGCTCAAAATAACATATAACCTCTGATTTCCAAGTGGAGTCTTTGGCTTATTAAAATACCTGACCTATCCCAGCCTCCTGAACAGTTTTTACTGAATAAAAAGACACCAGAGCAGCAGCTACTGAGAGGTGTAGTCGGGCCTCTGGTAGAAAGCAGAAAGACTGGGGCCAGCAGGTGGCACGGTAGTTAAGGCACTGGACTCCTGCAGTCAACTCTGGATCGAATCCCAGACTGAGCAGCTTGTAAATCACTCCAGGTGCAGGTGCATGTGTGTGCGAGTCCGAAACCCCAGGAGGAGAATAGAAGCCAAGGGACTGCAGCGTGCCCATCCCCCCAGGGGGATTTCTTATTTTTCCTCTGTCTCTGGTGAGCACATGTGCCCTTTGGCAAAAACTTCCAAAAAAAAAGGGGCAAGAAAGACTTAGCCACTCCAAAGGCTCTAGCCTCAGGTGTGATCAGCGTGCATGCAAGTCAAACGCTGGCCCCCGGAAGGGCAGATTACACAGGGAAAGGAAATGCATCCTTCTTTTTATTTCTGCACCAATTATTGGAAATTAGATTCCTAGGGCACTGTAATATTGAAAATTACAGATACATGTGCGTGCGCGTGTATAGCTGCTTCTAAAAATTCTGCTTAGCATGGAAACGCAAGTAGCAAGCTACTCGAGTAAACTCCAGCCATTGCTATGGACCCATCACACATATCGCTACCATGAGGCTCGGGAACAGTTAAGAGGACTGCTCTGGGAGAGCTCGCGTGCTTCTCACAGTGTCAAACACCCTCTTTGTTGAAAATGGTCTGCTTCATATCCAACTGCTAAAAGCATGCTCAGTTAAAATCAAGCAAAAATGCTTGATTCTAGACTTTGTTTTACATTTCTGGGTTTCATAGCTCCTCTCACAACACTGACAGGAGAACGCAGGCGGGAACCTCAGCCTGAGAAGCAGACACGTAGAATTCCCTTGGCTTCCTTTTGGCTCCACTGAGGGCCAAAACATAGTTTCTATTTTCCACTCCTGAATTCAAGACTGCCCTCGTGAAACATATGGTCAGCCTAAGAGAGAATTTAGCACCCAGCAGAAGCAAACAATTAGAAATAGTTTGTGGGGAGAACCCCACACCTCCAACAAGAATTTCTTTTACCTGAATTGATATGCATTTAGAGCACTTTGGATTTAATTGTGTTCAAGGGGCAATTTTATGGTAATGCCGTAAGTACGGTTTGGGGAGAACATTTCTTAATACGGTAATCTGGGGAAATCCATGCCTCAGGACACATTCTCGGTAGAAAGAGTTCCTGGACCATATGCTGCAGATACATGGAAAACTCATTGGTAATGGAAAGCTATGGCTAGGGGAAGAGATTAATGTGGACCAGATGGTGGTTAGGTAGGAAAATGTTTTACACAAATGTGAGAAATCAGCCTCTTCTCCCATTGCTGAAGTGTTAGTTTAATACCCACCGCGTCTTGATATTCTGTATGTAAATCTAGAGAAACCGTGCATTTGACTTACCAAAAAAAAAAAAAAAAAAAAGCCCAAAAAACCCACCAGCATGAGGTTTCTAATCTATTAAACTTATGCTTGAGGACAGAGAACACGTGCCAGTGGTGAATTAAACAGGGAAAGCAATACCTGATTCTTAAGAATGTCAGAACAACAACAAAAAAATTGTCAGAACCACCACGTGAATCCACCACTAAGCAGCAGTCCTTTGAAATAAAAGACCTCTCCAAGCTTCAAAATCATGTTACAAAGAAACTGCTTATCTTCCTTCTTATAATCTGATTTTAGAAACTGTATTATTTTTATGCATTCCCTAAGAGACCATAACCAAAATAATGCTACAAAAATAGGTCATCATTTGTGGGTATGGCATTACATGGCAGTAGATTTGGAACCTATCGTATGGTCTCGTCTGTTCAACAACAAAGGTCACGTTTTAATCAATGGAGCTTATACCTCCTGAGTCTCATAAAATGCAAAGAAATAAACATATTTTGAACGTTCAATTTAATGCATCATACTGTTTCTCTATATCTACAAGTCATGTGATGCGATTTCAATGGTTAGAGACATTTCTAACCTATTAACAATTAGTGTAGGCAATTAGATACAAAGAGACATAGGATCAATGCAAGAGAGGAAGAGAGAAGAAAAGTAAGCAGGGCCCAATTCACTAAAAGGGGTTCTTGCTTACGCACCTGGTGCTGCTCAGAGCTTTCGCCAGGCTGAAAGCTTGCCTGGTTACTGAGCTGATCCCTGCTTTCAGCCACTGAGTGTAGGACATGCAGCAGACCTAATCAGCAACGATGCGGGTGCACTCCCGACTGTGGGGCTGGCTGCCCAGTGAATGCCCATACTCATGGAAACACTTTGGTCTGCCCTCTGCTGCTACGAAAGCAGCACCCAGTCCGGTGCCCAGCACACGGCGGGCGTGTCACAAACACTTGCTGAACGAATGAACACAATCTAGTCTGTGGCTATTAATTCCAAAATAAGCTTCTCTTGCCACAGTTTAGGGGAAAAAGTCTCCTATATTTGTGTAAGTAGTCTAGGCCAGCCCTATTTTGAGGGTCAATCAGTCAGCTATCCTGAGATGGTCAGGATCATGAGCAGTCCAGCTATTCTTCCACTTCATCACAGAAACCACTGAATGGGGGCTGAGAATGCATGGGTGTTATCCGTTAAGGTGTTCATATGGAAGAATTCCTAAGTCCGTTTCCTTTAGTTAAGGAACTAAGACAAGAGCCCCAGCCTGGAGAGTGGTTTCTGTTCACAAAGAGCCCTCCGTGGTTTAAATCCTAGATGTGAGAAATTACCCAGGAGTTACCATTGGTCTTAGTATGACTGATGAAGACTGGGGAGGTTGCTGGTTCAATTTGCCTCAAGATTTGAATTTCTGAATATCTGATAAAGATTATTTAATTGCAGGAATGACTGCAAAGTATGATATTGGAAAGAGCAAGCATGAAGCGCGTTTTCTCTCCGAAGGTAAGCATTGTCAGGTGACAGTGCCCCCGAGCAGTCTTCCTTCTGGAATTTCATGTTCAATATTCTGATTTGAACACAGGAGGGAATGTGAAAGGTAGAGCACTTGGTGGGCTCACGCACACCACCCTGACCCAGCTCACAACGGAGAGGCCGGGCACCATTTTCCGTATTTGAACAACTACAATCTATGAGACAGTCTTGAAGACTTTCAAAAAGGCTTTTTATTCATGCTAATTAGACACGGGGAGTGAGTGTACAGAGCTATTAAACACACTTGTGGCCATCCCGAACAATTTATTTGGCTCTTAAATGCATGTTGCTTTCTTTTCCTTTCTTTTTCTTTCTGTTCTCCCTCTTTTCTTAGCTACACCTATTGGGTTGTCAGAAAAGTCGTGAAGCATTTGTGCATAGAAAAAATACATCATGACTTTTCCGACAGCCCAATATATTTAATGCCAATCCTGCGACTGTTACTTTGTTACGTATCTTAAACACACAAACTACAAACCGGCCGTGCACCTATGAAACTTGTAGTCTCCACTGTCAAGCAGAAGCTCGGAATTGCCACCGTGCGAATGCTTTTCATGTTATATTTCTAAAAACACACCACGAGTTTCATAAGTATTTGGGAGGACGCTGGGAAACACCAATGAACAGCTACATCCCAACTTCTCCTACGCTGCGGCTCGGAGCACTGTTCCTGGGCGTCACAGCTCCGTTGAACTTGGTGTATGCATACTTCAGAGCAAGAGCAACAGGATCAGCCCTGCTTGTTCATCATTTCCACTGCATCATTCCTCCTTGTATGTTCTCAAGGGATCTCACTGAACATACGCCTAAATATTCATACTCTCTGCGATCTTGAATTTCAGTTGCTAATATTATGCAACACTGGAACTTTGCCCAAGAACCCGGTGTCCGCACTCTGCATGGGCCCATTTCCCCTGCAGCAGGCTCCCCGAGAGCCATTTTGGGGGATGGTATTTTCTATCAGCTGAGGTGCTATAGCCTATCAGGTGTAAGAACTGTTCTTTTATCTTGGATTTATTTCTGTCCAAAAGCCATTTCTTCTCCCTCAAGAACTCATTACACGTATTCACCAAATTCCCTAAGGTTGCCATATTTCATGTTACATGGATTAAAAATTTAGGACTAAATCTCCCACATCAATTGTCCGAGGTAGGCAGAGTGGTTCTTGAAGCATAGCGAAATCTATAAATAATTTTAGTGAATTGGGGCCCTGAAATAACAAAGAATCTAGTCCATGATGTTTAGGAATGAAAACTATAAACTATCACAGGGTGAGTGAGTTGAAGAATTAAAAAAAATAAAAAAAACTCCAGAAACTGACCATACACTGTGTTGTAAGACATTTCATGATCTGGTAGAGGAGTTGAAATGTCTATAAAAAAATAATAACGAGGATAAAAAATTAATTGAAAAGAAACCCAAGGTTTGAAAGTACTCAAGAGGATTAGTAAAATAGGATTTCTCAGATAGATCTCCACTGATATAAAATGATGAGTAATATTGTCCTTACCATTCAGTGCCACGAAGGAATCTGAAAGACAAAAGGGAGGAGAAGGTTACTTCCTACTTGACACTGATTAGAGAGCCTGGCAGGGTCAGCGGGAATGAGCTAAGACCTAACCGTGCCAACATGTGGTCCCCGATCCTAATTAGTGCTTTTCTAATTCCTCCTCATAGCCCACGATGCTTTCACACGCCCCTATCTCTTCCACCAAGTGAATTTCCTCAGTTGCTGCTCTTGCCAAGAGGCAAAGAGAAAGCAGGAGTTAGTGGAGGCGATGGGCGCTGGATCATGGGGTCTGGAGCCCTCCTTCATACAGCGGGACATGCACGTGGGTACAATAAATGTCTGGAGGACACTTAGCGAGAGCCCTGCTCTGGAGGTCTCATCCTCACAGCCATGCTGTCCAGCACTGTCCAGTTTCCCAATGCGTGGACTGATGGGGGCTCTAGTTTGGCAATTAAAACAGAAAACAAAGCCACACAGGTATCAGGCTACATGTACTGATGTACAGGTGTGTGTGCTGTGTGTCTTGGTCAGATCACAGGTTTACCGCGTCCGTGGCTCAGCCTCGAATGCTGACTCCTGTGGTTCCTCATTTTCCCCTCACAATCCTGTAAGTCATCGTGCATCAAGTGAGCCAGACGCCCAGACCACTCTGGTGAGCAGGTGTGTCTAACAGGAGTCGGACAAGCTCTTGTAGGAGCTCGGGGAGAGGAAAAGCCATAGGGAAGGCAAGCAGCCTTCTTGCTGGCTACCAGCCGGAGTGGGTTAAAGGTCAGAGGGCACACCAGAGAGTGTGAAGGCCGCTCTGAGGACTTGACTGCCGAGCTCACTCTGGAAATAAAAAGGCTGAGACTTGAGGGCCTTCCCTAGGCTAGACAGAGGCTTCGTCATGCTGCCCCACCTGAGCCAGGCCCAGGCCACGGGGCCAGCCTCCTGGTGCAGCACAAGCTCTAGAGGCAGTAACAGCCCTCTTCTCACTTTCCCATACATCGGGTCGTCGGAAAAGTCATGACATACTCTCTTCTACGTAAAAATGTGTCATGGGGGACCAGCCAGTAGTGCGGTGGTTACGGCACTGGGTACTCCCACATGGCAGACCACGGTTCGAGTCTTAGACCTGGATGCATGCTTTCTCACTTTCCCTCTCTCTCTTTCTCTCTCTCTGTGTCTCTCTCTGGTCACATTAAAATCAATGAATGAATAATAAATTAAATAAATAATTCTTAAAAAAAAAGTGTCATGACTTTTTCCAACCACCCAATACTTCCCAATGCAACCTAAGTCTACATCTCTATTATTCTACAAAAAATAAAAGATCATTAAAATGTAATGAAAATGGTCCCCTAAAGTCAGCAAACTAAGTGGTTGTGAACACACAAGCGCACACCCACATCCCAGAACTATTCCCCTGAAAATGGAGTTGTGAGGCGCTGGGGTGAAGAAGCCAGCGGATGTAAGCTGAGCCCGTGTCGCTGGCGTGGACGCGTGTGTACACCACGTGACACGGACTTCAGGGTGACAACAGTCTCCTGTGCTAATTTTTAAACTGATAACATGTGAAGACATTATAAATAAATACACAGTATTTGTTAAAAAAATAGGCAAGTAATTTGGGGATACCTCCTTTTAATTGGCTATATTTGGTCTCTACAAAAGGTTGAAAACTGAATGACACTTAGGAGTCTAAAATTTCAGTACTCAAGACTCCAAGATTTAGTTATATTCGTGATTTTCTTTAAAGAGCCAAATATCAGAAGTAATGTAGTGAATACGGCTTCTGGAAATTCAGCATTTACAACACCACAAAGTAAACATATTTTCCAAGAGGGTGGTATCTTCTTTAAGGATTATTTACTCAATGTTATTTATTCATTCCTTCATTTTTAATTTGACAGAGATACACACACAGAGAAGAGGAGAGTGAGAAAGCAAACCACCAGGTCTGAAACTCAAACCATGGTCAGCCATGTGGGAGTGTCCAGCGCCTTAACCACTACGCCACCTGCTGGTCCCAATGATGTCTGTTTATTTATTTATTTATTTATTTAGTAGAGGTTTTTTTTCCTATAGGGCACGTGTGCTCACCGGAAAGACAGACAGAGACAGAAAGCAAAAAATCACCCCCCCCGGGGGGATGACCACACCACAATCCCTTCTCCTCCATTCTCCTCTCAGGATCTTGAGCACGCACGCACACATGCCAGGCGTGAGTTTAAGCCACCAGGTGCAGAACTAGAACCGCGGTCAACTACATGGGAGTCCAGTGACATAGCCATTATGCTAACTGCTGGTCCCTTTACTTTTATTTATTTATTTTTAAGAGGTTTTTGCTATAGGCGCCCTGTGTTTGCCAGAAAGACAGAGACAGACAGAGAGACAGAAAGCGAGAAATCACCCCCCAGAGTGATGGCTATGCTGCAATCCCTTCTCCTCCACTCTCCTCTCAGGATCTTGGGCACGCACGCATACATGCCTGGCATGAGTTTAAGCCACCAGGTCCAGGACTCTAACCACGGTCGACTACATGGGAGTCTGACAACATAGCCATTGTGCCATCTGCTGGTCCTGGTATTATTATTATTATTTTTTGTTTTTGTTTTTTTTTTTTTTGAGAGTTTTTTTTTTGCTATAGGGTGTGTGTGCTTGCCCGAAAGACAGAGAGAGATGTAGAGACAGAAAGCGAGAAATCACCCCCCAGGGGGGATGGTCACGCCGCAATCCCTTCTCCTCCATTCTCCTCTCAGGATCTTGGGCACGTACGCACACGCGCCAGGCGTGAGTTTTAAGCCACCGGGTCCGGGACGCGAACCGTGGTTGACTACGTGGGAGTCCAGCGACATAGCCATTATGCTAACTGCTGGTTCCCCTGGTATTATTTTTAAAATTAGATTAATAAAACATATTCAGGAGAGTGTTGGTATTGGTAGGATGCAGGATAACTGGGCAGAATTTTGACCATGATCTTTTATATAAGGTTCTTCCCTAAAATGCTGCCATTTTATACCAAACTCTGAGATCAACATAGTAGGTTAGTTCCTTTAGAAAGGCTATTTTGAACCACTCTGTACTTATGGTTATTTTAGAAGTATTTCTCTATTACAAATGGCAATAGACATAAATTTAATTTTTAGAAAAACCTTTTCGTTAAGTCTTTACGTTCAAGAAGAAAACCCTACCCAACTAAAAAGCCAGAGGACAAGTTCGAGCTTTGTACTATTTGTGTAAAAATCACAGTGTTCGGAGCACACTCCAGAAAACAAGGACAGCGTCACTTGGCGAGGGAAGCACTGCTTGGCGCTACCTGGTGAGCTCTGGGATGGACCTGTGCCACAGCGTTGGCGAGCCGAGGTGCCGGCCCTCACGGCTGACACTGGCGACCGCATGCGTATTTAAAGCACACGCCTCCTCTAGCTGGCGCTGCAGTGCCTTGGCAGTGCCTGCGTGCTGCAGTGCCAGCTGCGCTCAGTCCCCGCAGAGACTCAGCTGAGGCCACCACGGGAGGCACGTCTACCCGAAGATGAGGGCCGGACACTTACTGTGACAGTCTCCCAGGCCGTCTGTGCTGCCGTGCTCGATGTCTTGCTCAAAAGTCAGTCTTCAGAAGAGGGGAGGGACAGACAGGGACAAATGCAGCAATGTGAGTCACTCGGATTCGCCAGAGGGAGTCACACGTTCGACCCGAGTGGCGGGGCGCAGGCCGGCCAGGGCGCGGACGCTCGTCCCCAACGCCGCTCGCGAGGCGCACACCAGGCTTCGGCCCCTCTCCAGACAGGAGCAGCGGCAGGGGACTTGGAGGACTCGGGAAGTTAATTAGTGTGTGGATTATTGATGCCCTTCTTTTACTGAGTCCCCGAGTACTTCTTCAACATTTAAAAAGTTGAAGTGTTAAAATGTATTCCTCGTCTAGGCAATACGGAAATCTGCAAATTCAGTCTTTTCTGCTGGGCCTTCTCGTTCCTTCCTATCTTTGCCCTCCTAGACCTAGCGTTCGGGGTTTACTTGCCGAGCAAAACCTTGTACCGCAACTTGTGGGAGGGACTAATGCCAGGGGGTCTGTAGGCCTGCGGGCGCCAGGACCGGGTGTGTGCTTTGCCAAGATGGCTCCAGGATTCTGCTCGCTCCCACTCCCTCCACCCCCGGGGTGTCACTTTCTCTCCCCTCCAGGGACTCACTTTTCTCACTGGGTCACCATTGGGTTGGACACTAACGAACCATTCTTCACTGCATTGCTAGAGGGCATGTGTGCGCATGAGAGAGAGAGAGATATAGAGAGGGAGAGGGGGACGGCACGCTCCACGAGAGATGCACAGAGGGAGAGGGGGACGGCACGGTCAGTGAGGGATGCACAGAGGGAGAGGGGGACGGCACGCTCCGCGAGGGATGCACAGAGGGAGAGGGGGGCGGCACGCTCCGCGAGGGATGCACAGCGGGC